TCTTCTGTGTAAATGTTATTAAAGTGCTTTTGACTAACGAAAATCAGAATGCTCAGATTTCTTACTCAAGACTTCAAATGAATGCAGACCAATTGGACTGTAGTTTTAAACTGTGTATGTGGTCTTCAAGTGCCTATGCTATTCACCACAACAATGCAGAAAGTTTGACTACTTCTGGTCTAGGCTACTGCATGGAAAGTTTGCCTGGGTGAAGTAAATAACATTTGGCCAAATGATGCAGAGCTTTTCCAACATGAGTCAATATGCTTGGGATCTTTGAATAAATAAGAATCCTTCTAAAAAGAATATTTCAATGTTGTCGAGATTGATAAACTATCTGTTGATCTGACACATGAAATGAATCAAATCCATAGTTCCTGTGTTCTTGTTCTTATTGTGTCCTTTTTCAGAATATGTGTTAATGTGATGCTTTTGACATTTTGTAATTATCAGTAAAAATTCAACAAGATCTTGTGCACACCAGAATTTAACAACTTATTATTTGACAAACTACCTGAGCCCATTTGCCTCAATTAATGTTGCATCGTTTGGATTGCAAATGAGTGCACTGGGTTTCAAACTGTCTGCAAGACTTTAACCCTACTGAGCAAGTTTTCTGAGTGTCCAATGTGTCCTTTGATAACTTTTTGTCCTGGGAATTTTCTTATTCCTGTGTCTGCTATGGAGATGAGTTTAAATTCCCTGCCTTGATTATTTCAAGAATCTCTAATGCAGATTAAATATTCCTACAATTCATCATTCAGCACTGCTGCACACAATCCTGCTGTGGAGCCATAACACTCCTTTAAGTTTTCTGGGTCAAAATCCCAGAACTGCTTCTGGAGCAGTACTGTTGGTGTACTTACACTAGATACATTGAACAGTTCAAGAAGGTGGTTCACCACTTCTCGACTCAAGAGTGGCCATAAAATGCTGGCCTTAGCAATGTGCTGTCATTCCATGAAATAATTTTTAAGACTACTTGGGCTTCTAAATTGAGCCTACTTGATTTCCAAATTCAAATCCTTCCTGAAGTTCTGTTACCTACCTTTTCTTGAATCAGCATGTGTCTAGGTAGCATTTGCAGCTGTTGTTTGCAACTCTGTCTAGTTTTATTCCCTTTAATCACTGAATTCAAGAATGTGTGTGAATCTAGATGAGCCTTTAAATGATAGGCTGGGTTATTTGGGAGAGCTTCAGGTGAAATCAGATTGGTGTGCAATGCCTGTTAGGAACTGGTAGTTTCATTTTGACTGTCAGATGTGGCGTTTTCCTGAAGGCAACTTTGGCATTCGGCCATTCATGATTGCAATGGCTCTAAGTTCCAAAAGAACCACTTTGTCCAGATATACAGACGACTTTTTTTTTCAAGGATATATTTTTCAAGCAGCACTTTCAGATCTGAACTTTGTTTTTGTTTCAAAAGAACAGTTTTTTGATCTTAATTCTCTCAGAGACATAAAGTAGGATTATTGTGATGCCCTACAAATGGGCAGTAGGAATGTTTACTCATAAGTGATGTTTTGGGTTAAACTGTCTTGAGCAGTGGTTTAAACAGAGCAGTGGAAATGAGTACTGAGAATTTATTTTCCACGACCCTGTCAGTTCTCTAGGTCAATTCTTAGTTTGCATATTTTTGTTTGACTATGCTGTGTAATGTATTTTCTAATGAGTTAAATAATGAGCAGTCATCAATCCAGTGCTATCTACCGCTTTTAATGTTTTCAATTAAATTTCTATTTCAGACCACAATATTTAATGGGCTGATTCACCTTGTGTCTTCCATCTGGAAAGGGATCATGATTGTAAACTGCTAGTCAAGTGAAAACTGATTGCCCTTCAATGATAGTTCAGTAGCTTGTCGATGCAAATTTTGACATTGTCTGTGATTCTCTGTCCAGTCCTCATTATAACTTGTTGGGGTACAACTCCATGGAAGCCCTTGATTTCTTGCTAAAATGGCCTGTCCTTGCCCAGCATTTCTTGAGGACTTTCTAGGAACCATTAGCAAACAATTGACATTTCTTTTTCCTTCTCCCCTGCCACCCAGAAATGGAGACCAGTTGACTCTAATACAATTCTGGCTTAGATCAACTGACTTTGACCAAGAAATGAGCCAAGGACCTTTGATTATCTATGTGGTGTAATACCATCGCAAATGTCTTATCTACAAACTTTAATTCTACCCAGCAGCTGGACTTCTGTGGACTGTTCCTTCAGTGTAATAATCGGTATTGCTTAGTGAGATATTATCTGCCTCCTGAATTCATTTTTTGTAAAATTGTTTGTTTGAGTTGTTGAGTTCTGTCGTGGGTCTGCCTGTAGTCTTGGGTCAAGGATGGTTGATGAAACAATTTTGCTTCTCCTTGCAACCTTCACCACTCCCGGCACCCTGAACGGTTTCAGACTTGATTATTTGCTTGATCTACCTGAATTTGTCCCCTAAATGGCAGTTCAGAGACCAAATCAATTCAAAACGTATGGAAAATAACGAGCCCACAAACTGAGCAAGGAACAATTACTGTTTATGTAGCCTTGGGGCAGCCAAACAAGTATTTTATATTTATCATTGTTTGATGCCCCAGTTTCCTGCTGTTCCTACACTGAGATGTTAATGAAAGTACTTTTCTAGTACAGAGTATTAAAAAATATTTTGACTGTTTGGAATGTGACTCTGCTTGTAGTTACTTTTGTTGAAAATCTAGCTCCTTTTACATATGCAGTGACAGCTTGTGTGCATCACTACTTACAATAAAGAAATTCAGACAGGCATCTTGGTTCATAATTTTTACTTTACCTCCTAATAAACCTCTTTTTCAAATTTTAGCAAATTTTTTTGGCAAATTTTTTTTCATATAGGACTGTTCTGTAGCTGTTTGAAAACATTTTCTTTCACTGCTTGCGGCTGCTTGACTTTCTATTCATAGTCGATGCAAAGCTGCTACTTGAAGTAACTTGCAGGATGAGTTGTACCACTCTGCAGCTGCTGACACCACTCAGCCCTCCAATTTCTTTTTGGTCTATTTGTATAACTTGTGAATTTTGAATAAACGAGAAAAATGGTATTTGTAGGAGAATGCAAATATGTTTACAAAAACTATGGGTGCAAATTATCTTTTGCTTGTTTTGAAATAATCTAGCCATTTAAGCACTTCAGTGGGTATGTTACTTGAGAATTTTTTTGGATTTGATACTTCTGCTTGACAAAGCCAAACATCTAGTGACCCTTCTGTACGGTATTTATTGTGGAAGTACGTTATTGGAAAATCCTGGTTGGAAGTCTTTGGACTTGTGCACTATTTTGCACATGTGAGCATTGAAGTAAATGCAGTTTTTCGGTCGGGCTAGTAAATTCTTAATGCTCTTAAATCGGCGAGGTATTGAAGTTTTTTGAAACCTAGCAGTGAATGGCAGCAGCTGAACACTGAGACTGTACCCAGGTAATTGTCATAAATATGCACCCTATTAGAATCTGAAATGCAACGCAGACCTACGTATCGGGGAGACCAAACACAGACTTGGGGACCGGTTTGTGGAGCATCTGCTCTGCGTGCAACAACCAACCCAACCTTCTGGTTGCCATCCATTTTATTCCCCCTCCCAGTCCCCTGGTGATATGTCCATTCTTGGCCTCCTCCACCCTCAGTGAGGCCAAACGCAAACTGGAGGAACAACACCTGACAATTTGCCTTGGGAGCTTACAGCCCCATGCCCTCAATATTGACTTCAAACTGAAAAATCCACCCCCCACCTCCGATTTACTTTTGGTCTCCTCTCCTCCTCCCCAGTCCTGACAAAAGATTTTGGCCCAAAATGTTGACTTTCCTGCTCCTTGGATGCTGTGACATGCTGTACTTTTCCAGTGTCACATCCATTAACTCTGGCATCCAGCATCTGTGGCCCTTACTGTCTCTAAGTCAGTGTGTATTGGTCAAATAGCAAGACAGCTAACTTGTAAAATTTGGAAAGTGAAATTTCAATCAAGGTCCAGTTTGAAGTCATTGAATCATTTGACTAGTCTAAATTTACTACACAATGAAAAATTAGCTATTAATCGAATCACAGAATTCGTAGAGCCCCTACTTGGCCCAACAAGTCCACACTGACTTTCCGAAGAGCAACCAATCCTATCCCTGTAACCCTGCATTTCCCATAGCTAATCCACCTAGCCTGAACATCCCTTGACACTATGGGCAATTTAACATGGCCAATCCACCTAACCTGCACATCTTTAGACTGGGAGGAGACTGGAGCACCCAGAAGAAACCCACACAGACACGGGGAGAATATGCAAACTCCCCACACACACTCGCTTGAGGCTGGAATTGAACCTGGGTCCCTAGAGCTGTGAGGTAGCAGTGCTAACCATTGAGCCAATGTGCCACCCTAATATCAATTGGCTGGCCAAAATGCCCTATTTTGTGTGCTGTACAGCAAATCCTGAATGCAGTTTTTATTTAGCTGATAGAAACTTGCGGATATGTGGTGACTGGTCATGAAGTAGCTGTAGTTGAAATCTGTGGAGACCACTAAGTAATCTGTCCATGTCCAGCACTCCACCTCCCCTCCTTTCTTCTCTTACCATCACTGCCTAGCTAGCTCAGAAACTCAAGGTCTTGCTGCACCTGCTCTCTATCAGTTTGGTTTTAAATAATTAATCCTTTTTAAGATATAAAGGTAAAATACTGTGGATTCTAGAAATTTGAAACAAGCAATGCTGCAGAAACTCTGATCTGGTAACATCTGTGGAGAGAAAGAGTTGACCGAGTCCTGTAAACTTCAGAACAGCAGTTCAGTTCTGCAGAGGCCTTTTGGACTCGGTTGGCTCTGTTTCTCTGTCCACATGCTGCCAGTCTTGTTGAGTTTCTCAAATCCTCCAGGTTCCACAATGTTCATATAATTTGTAAAGAATCAATTGTTTAACAGATTTCATGGTTGATATTGAAATTATTTGAGATTTTTTGAATTTTAAGGTTGTTTATTTCTCCCCTCTTTTACAGCAAAAAAGGCTTCAATGTCCGATCGTTTGGCACAGGAACACACGTGAAGCTACCAGGACCGGCCCCGGACAAGCCAAATATATACGATTTCAAAACTACATATGATCAGATGTACAGTGATCTCATTAGGAAAGACAAAGAACTGTATCCATGAGGCACACTTTGTTTTTAGGTCACTGGTTCCAAGGTGTCTGTGTTTGTATTTTTATTGTAGTGGTGCACCTACTCTGCAGTTCTGTAAATTCAAAGGGTAAGAAAATACAATGCCAAGGATGAGTCAGGTCTCTTGCGCCTTCTGGTGTTTTGTCAGTCTGCTTTAGTTGAGTTATGCTTTAATCAAAGTGTTACACTAAGCACAGGCGAAATAACTCCTTTTACAAGGTTGCATCATAACTTGTGTAGGTAATGCAGGGGCCCATTGATTTAGTTGCTGCATGTCCAGCAAATTTCCCCTACTCCGCTTTAAGTTCTTCCTATTTAGGTACTCCAGATCCTGTAATGACCTTTAATTTTCATCTAAAAGAAATAGGAACTTTGGTACTGGGCATCCTGTTCTTCACTGAGGAGTAGCAGAAACATAAGAGCCAATTTATAGCTGAATGATCCATCTCTGTATTTAAATACTTGGAACTTTTTCTAATGGGAAACAGACAATCATGACTCAACTGTTGACTATAACAGTCTCAGAAACAAATATAAACAACAGGCGTTATTACTGCACTGAATTATGAAATTAGTGCAGTGGGATTAATGTCTTCAGGTCTGATTTGTGTATATCTTCATTGCCAAAATGTGATACGTGGAACGTGATCTAATCCATGTTGAATGAATTCAAACTAGTATGGCATCATGGAGAAAGCCTTGCCAGACTATCATTCATAGGTTTGAGTAAAATATATAATCTGCAGTAACATGCACCAAATTCGCAGTTCGTTGGACAATTAAACTAGTTGAAGAAGATTACAGTGCACAGAGTGAAGGAACTAGTGGCATTCACTCTGGCTGAAAGGTGAAAATGAGTAAATTTGTTAGAGAAAAATTGCAGCATTAAACTAAATTGTGAACACATTCATTGATATTGCAATTTGGCTGGGACTTGTTTTTTTTAGTTTGCGCACAGGCTGAAGCAAATACACTACATTGAAAATAATCAAACCAGTGATAATGATCACTGGCTCATCTTCAAACTAATTGCTGAAAAGTAATTGAACTTAACTCTAGTTAAAAATGGGTAGTTTTCTCATGCTCCTGTAGTTTTCCTCTTGTTATCAGCTGTTTTGGCTTATTTTAAGTTGTGTAACTAGATTTGTACCAAATGTAACTTTTGCCTATGTAGTTTTCCTTATATTTCCTAATCAAGATATTCTGCATTCATTTTGCATTTAACTACTGGCATAACCTGTTCTGGAGACTGACAGAATTATTGTCCAGTAGTCTTTTTGTTGCCTGAAATGTAGGTTCAAAATCTGGTTTTCCAAATGGCAGCTCAGTTTCTAAGAATTGATATGACTACAGTGCAAATTTTTGTGAAAATTCAGGTTTGGCAGAACGCCAGTTAGTAGACTTATTTATCTTTTAAGGTAACATCCTAGGAACTATAAGAGAATGAATGGTTAAAGTTGAGCAGAAATAAATTGTGGCTAACTGATGCTTGATTAGCAATTGTAATTAGCTTAGATTTAGGAATTTGAAGCACAGAAGGTCATTTGGCCCATTGTCTGTTCTAGTCAACCATATTAATCCCATTTTCTACCTTTTGACCCATAGTGTTGCCATAGCCTCCAAACAAGTGACTGTCTAAATGCTGCAAGAATGTTACATGCGTTTCTGACTCTTTGACCCTTTTAAGCAGATTTCCAGACTTCCAGCAACCTCATTGGGAGTAGAAAATTCACCTCCACTCTTCTGAGAACCTTTTAAATCTTTGTCCCTTGATTTATTGATTGCTCTACTAATAGAAAAAGTGCCTTCCTATTTCCCTCTATCTGTACCCTCATAACCTGTACAGGGGTAACAGGTCCCCTCTTGGCCTTTGCTGCTTTAAGGTAAATAACCTCAATCTCGCTCAAAGCTCAGTCCCTCCAACCGGGGCAAGATTTGGTATATTTCCTCTGCACCATCTCTAGTGCAGTCACTATCCTTCTATGATGTTACCAGAAATGAACACCTCACTACATTTGTGGCCTAAGCAGAGTTTTGTACAGCTTCAGCATAACCGCCTTGCTCTTGTGTTCTGTGCTGTACTTGTAAAGGCAGGTTTCCCCGCATGCTGCCTTACCCACCATACCTACCTGCCTCGTTACCTTTTCAGAATCTGTGGATATACGCATCAAGATCCACCTGATCTTCACTATTTTCCAGGGTGCTACCATTTATAGAGTAATCCTCCCCAAATGCATTACCACACATTTTTTCTGGGTTGAATTCCATTTGTGACTGCTAGGTCTAGCTGACCCAAGCAGTCTGTTGACAGTCTGCAGATTATGGCTATCCTCCTTGCTATTTGCCGCACTACAATTTTATGCCACCATGGACATCTTGATCATATCCCCTACATGCAAGTCCAAATCATTAATATATGCAACAAACAGCAGGGACCGCAGCACCAAGCCATGTGACATGCCACTGGAAAGAGACAGCCAAACACACACATCCCTCTACCATATTGGCTTCCTGCCTCTCAAAAGCCTTGCTAATGTCCACAGACCACATCAAATAGATAGCCACATTGTCATTCCTAGTGCTTTTTAAAAAAAAAAAGGTCAAATTTGTTAAACGTGACCTTTTGCTTAACAAAGTCATGCTGTCTATACCTGATAAATCAGTGTCTCTCCAAGTGGAGACATGTTCTGTCCCTAAGAATCGTATGTAATAATTTCCCCACTACTGAGGTTGGACTGACTGGCCTGCAATTTCCTGGTCTAATCCTATTCCTTTGTTAGTAACAGAGCAATGTTAGCAGAAGCCTGGTACCTGACCTGTAGCCAGAAAGGATTTGAAAATAATTGCCAGCGCCCCTGATATCTCCACCTTCAAAAGTCTGCGTCCATCTCACCCAAGCTTGTGGATTAATCCTCTCTTTAAGGCTGCTAAGTTTGCTGTACCTCCTTTCAAAGTTCTCCACCTCGATGGTACGTAGCTGCATTTCCTCTTCCACTGTATATTCCACTTAGTCTTGCTATACCTCTTTCTTATCTAGCCTATGTTACCTCTGCTTTCCAAACTCACTTGCACTCATTTTAACTTATTAATTCCATCTCCGTTTTTTTTCCCCTCTGAGCTACTAGTCATGATCTCATACCACTGCCAGACTAGTTTAAAACCATCCCGACAGCCCTACCAAAACCTTGCAAGGTTGTTAGCCCCGTTCTGTTTTAGATGTAATCGATCCGACTTGTACAGAACCCCAGAAATGGTCCTAATGCCTTACGAGTCTAAAGCCCTCCCTCCAGTGCCATCTATCAAGCCATCCTTCTATTCTTCTACTCACTATTTTATGGCATCAGGAGTAAACCAGAGATTAGTTTTTTGAACTTCTGCGTTTCAATTTCCAATCTAGTTTCCTAAAGTCTGCTTGTAATCTCTCTTGTAACCTAATCTCTCTCTCTTTTTCGGTGTCATTGATCCCAACCTGGACCTTGACTCCTAGCTGTTTATCACTAAGACCTCTGAGCCCGGCACCTAGAGGCGTGCGCAAGCGCACGCACACGGCCTCTTGCAAGGAAGGCCAACATATCCTTTGACTTCTGAATCTCTGCAAGTGCCTGTTTACTTTCATTGACTGGTGTGCAAGGACATCCAAATCCCTTTCTACATTGACATTACCCAATATATCACCATTTAAATAATGCTGAAGTGTCTTAATTTCACATTTGTCCATGTTATGCTGCATCCATCATGTGTTTGCCCACATGCAGTCAACTTGTCTAGATTGCACAGTAACTTTCTTTGTTTTTCTCTCAATTGTACCTAGTTTTGACATCAACAAACTTAGAAATATCCCAGTTGGTTCCCTCATTCAAGTCAATTATGTCAATTGTAATTGTTGACATCCAAAAACTGATTCCTGCATTGCATCACTAATCATTGCATGCCACATAGAAAACGACCCAGTTATTCCCATTCCGTTTCCAGTCGTGTTATCCAATTCTCAATCCATGTCACTGTTACTTCAATCCTGTTTAATTTTGCTCTCTAGCCTCTTCTGTGGGACCTTATCAAAAGCCTTCCTGAAATCCAAGCGCACCACATCCACTGGTTCTCCCTCATCTCCCTCTATTAGTTAACATCCTTAAAAAAAACTACTCAAGATTAGTTTAGCATGATTTCCCCTCCATAAACCCATGTAAGTTGTCTTGTTCTGTTATCATGTCTCTTATAACATACCTCAACATCTTGTCCACTTTTGATGTTAGACTATATAAGCTGTTTCCTTCTATTCACTCCCAAAAGTCATAAATAATACTGATTTGAGACCACAGTCAAAACATGAAGGAAAAGGGTAATAATTACCAATTCTCATTTTTATAAAAGTTAATGCAGAGGGCAGAGTATTTCTTTCGGGGATAGAAAGGGTCACTGGGAATGGAGTGCACGAGTGTGTGGCTGATGTAACAACTGAAGAGTTTAATACCACGCTTCCATGTTCGTACTGTGGGTTAATTTCATCCCTATGAAGTTGAGTCTAGTGCTGCAATTTTTTTAATGCAAGTTATGTGCTTCACACTTAAATGCGCGATTACCATCTTTGTATTGTGCAATTTTAAAAAATTTTTAGTCTAAGGTTTTGACTAAGTACTCAACGTCACCCACTCCACTGAACATTGAGTGCAGTATGCAAGAAATAATGCTGCATCCAAGCATTCCTTAGATTAATTTTTATTCCAAATCTATTTTTGAAATCGAATACTGTCAGCCTCCCTAGCCTCTGCTGTATCCAGGACAGGTAGTGTGACAACATGCAGCCTGTGAAATATGTTGATTTGGAAATTGGGTCACAATACACGCGCAGTTGGAGTAAGTTAGAATGGCATTTTTACTACAGGAGCAGGTCGACCCAGCACTTGTAATTGTATGCACACAATAGTTGAGGCAGATTCCTAACTTGCCAATTGAATTGGAATACTACTGTTTGAAGAAGCTCT